TCCAGGACCCAATGCCAGAGCATTCTGGCTTGGACGGTTCTCATCTGGGGAGGCAGAGCCCAGCTGGGTCTGTGCTTGTTTGGAAACTTCTTGTATTTTCCAGCCCTGCTCATTCCTGACCTGCAGAATTTTGCTGCTGTGGAATTTATGATGCCACAAACCTGCATTTAAGGAATTTTGACTAAAGCAGACTGGGTGGTCTGGGGAATTAGGAGATTTCCTGGAATAATATATTCCTCTGTGCTGGAGAGTCGTGTGTATACACACACAACGATGGTGCAGGATGGAAAGAGAGAGGCGTGTGTTACAGGGAAGGCTAGAGCTTCCATTTTCAGCCTGGTTCTACCTTGGCCATGAATGTTGTCACAGCTGGAAAACTTCAGCTGTCACCTCGGACCCCATCCGCTCTGTTACCCGCGTTTCACAAAATGCAGAAACCAGGATAGAGTCAGAACAGGCCTCAGAACTCTCTCTCTGAGTCTAGTACTTTTCATAAGATGCCCCGAAGATGGGTCCTCATCACACTAGGTCTCAAGATGTTAATAAACAATACGTGAAAAAAAAGTGGGGGCGAAAAAGGAAAAGGTTGAATTAAAACCCAAATAAATAGGTTTCTTTACTATAGAATTTTCAGGGCCTTTAAGGTGTTAATAACACTTTGTAAACTTTTAGGGGAGCATTATTATATATGAGGTTTCTCAAACTTATTTGGCCAGGAAACCTGGTTTTTTTTTTGAGTTGGAGTCTCACTTGGTCGCCCAGACTGGAGTGCAGTCGCCGCTCCCAGCCACCGCAGCCTCGCCCGCTGGGCTCCAACGATCCTTCCGCCTCAGCCTTCTGAATAGCCGGAATTACAGGCATGCGCCACCACGCCTCGCTGATTTTTTGATTTATTGTAGAGATGAGGTCTCGCTGCCCAGGCAGATCTCGAACCCGCAGGCTCAGGCAATCCACTCACCTCAGCCTCCCAAAGGCGTGGGATTACAGGCTGAGCCACCGAGCCTGACTGAAACCTGTTTTTTTTTTTTGCAAAATACCTCGAAAGCCTAGTGCTCTGCAGAAGACCCGGGAATATACCAGACGATGGCGCCCTGCTGCATGTGCCAGTTAATATTTTTCAAAAACTTGAGTTTAATTTCCGCTCAATAATCCATTATATGGCAAAACCAACATTTCTGCTTCCATCACTTAATGGTTAGACATTGAGATTATTTGCAATTTTTCAGCATAACCCATAATTCTAGAATGATTCTGGTTACTTTGTGACTATCTCTGGTTCTTTCCTTAAGAGGTGGAATTTCAAATCAACGCGTATAAATGTTTGCAAGACTCTTGAAATGCATTGTCTAGCAGCTTTCCAGAAAGGTCATGCTCATTTGTCCTTCTGCCAGTGGCTGGAGGTATGGGCAGGGTTAGCGTCTGTCTGTGAAAGCTGAGAAGTCCGAGAAGCTCAAAGTGCTTGAAGAAGGCCATTCCCTTCTCTCTTACCGTGTGGGCATCCAGCAATTAGAAAACAAATAATTATACTCACTAAGGACATAAACATCCATTTCTTTTGAGGCAACAAACTGACTTTTCACAATACTCCGGGCTGCTTCACAATAATTGACACCTGAATGTTATCTAAATACTGTAATTTGGCCTTCTAGATATTTTGTTGGATAGTTGGAGAAAAAGGGATTTTGAATTGGCATCTGTTGTGCTCATTTTTAAATAACTTTTCAAGGTGAGACTTAAAAATAAAGCTTTGATTGTGAGCTTTATCTCTAGAAGACTCTTTTTATTCCATCAGTCTTAATTCTGACTTCACAAGTATTGAATTATGTTATGTTGAGTTTTGAGGCTTATTGTGGTTTTATATTTGTATGGGGAAAAGTATATACATTGTGAACTAGAAGTAATTTATCTTTTTGTCCTCCACAAATATCCTTTGGTCAGTGCATTATTGAGTTTTGGAACTGAGATGTGAACTTCTAACTCATTAAAACCCTCAAGTCCGCAGCAATAAAGTTGTTTAAGTGGCTTCACCAACAGATTTATTTCAAAGTGATTCCATTTGGAGGAAGGAACGAATGAGTAATGCATTATATACCAAGATCTCTTCAATAATTCATGAGACCTGCACACCAGTGACTGTTTTAGATTCGGTTCATGATGTTTTAGCCTAAAATGAACTCTGTCTTAGAAGACATCTGCAGTTTGCTCCTCTTTGGGCCTGAGTCCATGAGCATTTTCACTTTTGAGAAATAAAGTTTGTTACTGACTCTTCTACCTTGTGTGTTTCTGTGGACTACTCTTTTATGAGGCTGTTTTGAAAAAATAGTCATTATGTATAATTGTGTTACTCCCTACCCTCGTCAAAGCAGGAATGTTTCCAAAAATACATTGCCTTTCCCTCCCTGCGGGCAGGAATTCTGATTTTGTTTTTTATGTGTGAGGGATGGATTGCCAAAGGGTGGGTTAAAAATAGACTTATGGATGCCTAATAATTATAACACACACGGCATTGGGCAGTCAGTGAGTATGGAAAGGCATGCATGGTGAGTGGCCGCTGTCCTCAAATGAGTTCTGGAATGAGGACAGTGGGTGAGGCCAAGACCCTTCGGCATGTTGGCTACTGCACAGATCAGCTGTGAACTCCCTGATTCATCCTGAGCTTCGTACAACTCTTTCCCTTTTCTGAAAACTGCAGGGTAATTTCTTTTCAAGATGGAGACTCGTATGGAGGGACATGAAGGAGGGGGAGGGTAACCTCCTTCCTTTCCACACCATTGTGAGTGCCTTACCGGCACTCCTTGGTGCAGTACCAAGAAAACCAAGTGAACGCATGTGCTTAAGATGTCCAGGCATGATCACTTTGATTTGGCAAGCATTGATCCAATGATAAGTACTGTGAGGGAAGTAAAAAATGAATGAGTTATGGTTTTGTTGTTTGCCAGAAAAGCTTCAAGATCCATCCTTTCTTCTTTTCTGTTTCCTCCACCAAGGCGCCAATAAAAATGGGTGCTTTAAAAAAAATTTTTTTTAATCATTTTACTCGCACCAGGCATGGTGGCTCAAGCCTGTAATATCAGCACTTTGGGAGGCGGAGGCAAGAGGATTGCCTGAGCTCAGGGGTTTGGGAGCAGCCTGAGCAACATGGTGAGACCTCGTCTCTATAATAAATCAAAAAAATTAGCCAGGCATGGTGGCACATGCCTGTGCTTCCAGCTACTTGGAAGGCTGAGGTGGAAGGATCTTCTGAGTCCAGTAGGTCAAGGCTGCAGTGGCCGTGAGCATGCCATTGCACTCCAGCCAGGGTGACAGTGAGACTCCAACTCAAAGAAAATAAAAAAATCATTTTATTTAAAATCCATTGTAAAAATTTATCCAATACAGAGTCTTATAAGGAAAAATGTGAAAATAACTAGAAATCACTAGTTTCTAAGATTTTGAGGGACACAGAGACATACTCTCACACATATTTTACCCTAAACTATACTTGTATTATGCTATAGATACTGCTTTGAGACTGTGTTTTTCATTGAGCAGTATGCTAAAGATATATTTTCCTGTAAATACAAATCCTTGTCATATAATGGTTGTAGGATGTTCCATTGGATACAGATATGTCTTAGCTTGGAGTGTCATAACAAAAGATCATAGGTTGGGTGACTTAAGCAACACATTTATTTCTCACAGTTTGGGGGCTGGGAAGTCCAAGATCAAGGTGCCAGCTGATTCAGTGACTATGAGAGCTGACTTCCTGGCTTGCAAACCTGCCTTCTTGATATATCCTCACATAGTGGAGAGACATATGGGACTTTTCCTCTCCTTGTAAGGGCACTAATCCCATCATGAAGACTCAATCCTCGTGAATTTATCTAATCTCGATGACTTCCCTAAAATCCCTCCTCCTAATACTATCACTTTGGGGATTAGGGTTTCAACATAAGAATTCTGGGGGAGACACAAATATTCAGTTCATAACATTATACGACTTATCAGTTCCCTATGAAGAACCTTTAGGTGGTTTTCAAATTTTTGCTCCCATATGCAATACAGGGATATATCTTCCTGTGTGTGATATATACACTCTAGTATACATTCCTGTAAGTGGAATTGCTGAGTCAAACAGCAGTGTCAAACAGTATGTACATTTCAAGGTTTAAAGCACATTCCATGTTGTGTATGAGAATGTCTTCTTTCCAAAAACCATACCAACACTGGACATGATAAATCTTTTTAATATTTGATAATAAGTGCCTCATCATTGCTTTTATTTTCATTTCACTAATTTTAATTCTTTAAAATATTTATTGGCAATTTATATATCTCCTGTGATTTCTATATACTGTGTCCCTTTTTTTGTTGAGCTGCCTTTTTCTTATTGACTTTCACAACTCCTTCAACATATTTTTTAACAAATTAAGACTGGATCCTTCTCCAAAATATACACAAAGTACATGTTTTCTGGACTAGTGATACTTGCTCTGTTAATGTTTCGGGAGGAAGCTCATTTAATGTCTCCTCATTTGTGGACCTTGGGTGACGAGAAAGCCCCTTGTGGAAGGGGTGGCTGCCTTCCAGACCAGAGACTGCCCTTGCTGGGCATTCCTCATTAATGTCTCAGCAAGGATCCTATGATCTCTGCCAGTGTTCCGTTTCCCTCTCCTTGGCCTACATCTTTTCCTTAGTGCTGTATAATTTTAAAGAGCTTGCCCTGGGTCAATCATATTAGAAAAGCCGTAAGTAGTACAGAGGAGAAAATTTATAGGCTGGCAACATTTATAATAAAATTTGTCTTTGGCCTTTGCTCAAGAGTGGATTTCATGGTCTATAAACCACAAAGGTATGTGTAGTTGGGGAGGAAAATGTATTATTTAATATAAACCCTGGAAAAATTTTAGGGGAAATTTAGGGAGTCTGTAGGGATGGTGTAGGATAAAAATTTTGTATTTAATTTGGGTTGCATAAAATCTGTTCACTTTAGCCTAAAACTATTCATTATTCTTAAACAGTTTCACTCATTGGCTCCTATGTACTATCGAGGATCTGCTGCAGCTGTTATAGTGTATGATATTACCAAACAGGTAAGAATGTCTCCTTTGGAGGCAACCCCTTTGGGTCCCCTCCCACTGTGGGAGCTTTCCTATCCTCTCAATAAATCCTGCTTTCTCACTTTAAAAAAAAATGTCTCCTTTGGAATTCAGATGCCATTTATGATGATTCGCTGACTTAGAAAGGCTACAGCAGAGACATCCTTGCTTGGGTCTTGCCAGGAGCCTGGCACTGTATTTTACATTTATTTCATCTCTGTGTACCTCATCATTTCAGATATATCTGCTAAATTAAATAAACAACAGTGACCATTAATTCTTAAAATGAATGTTGAGGCAAAAAGTCATGCCTGTCAGTACTCCAGAATGTCAACTTTTTAAGATAAGGAGAATTGTTTTTATTATTATTTCCATGTTCGTTTACTTTAATATTGGTACATATACCATGTTATCACATGGAATGCAAGTTCAGATTAGACAAGAGAACTTCAAAAGTGTAATGAAGCATTCTATAGGATATCAAAGTTTGTATACAACGTCTGGCCACACCAGCTTGCTCACAAATCATTAATCACTTCCATTATAGGTAATTTAATGAGTTTCATGTTTATAACTCTTAGGGAAAAAATAAACATAATGCATTCATTTAAAAAGTCTTCTTAACTTACTTTTGCAGTAGCATCTAAAATACATATTTCTATTTCAAGATGACATTTAAAAATTCTTTCAATATAACAGCAGCAAAAATATAATTCTACAATTATTTAAGAGCTAACCTGGAATTCATAATTAAGTAATTCTCATGTTTACAAATGTGATTCTGAAATAAATAGCTACTGCTATGCAGCTCTGTTATAAGCTTTTTAGGTTTGGTTTAAACACACATGCACACTTACAGTTGAGCAAGCTGTATAAAATTATATTCTACACACTTTTTTGAAAGAGTTTGTGAGCCAACCAGTCCACAAGACAGGCAGAAATTTAAGTCAGCTGGGGCAAATGGGACTCCTGTAACATCCAAAGCATGTGGTATTCAGCAGCAACTGGGAGCACTTCACGGTTGGCTGACTGTCTTCTTGAGAACTAATTTCATCCTGGCAGTTTAAGAAGGTGGACAATTGGGCAACCCTCTTGGGTCCCCTCCCACTGTGGGAGCTTTTCTGTTCTCTCAATAAATCCTGCTTAAAAAAAAAAAAGCTAGACAGTTAAATCCCATCCAGTGCATTTAGGTGATGTGTTTCTTTTGTGTTTGACTCCCCTAGTTCCTTTCTTGCAGGCCGATATTCAAAATACCATGTTATTGTCAGCACCCATTCAAATAATTTATTTTCCTCCTAATCATGCAGCCTCAATAATGAGATGTCTAACTAAACTAAGCCTCTCCAACAAGACCAGAACAGCATCTCTTCTTCTAAGGTTTAGGTTTTGTCCAGAATTCTTGCTATACGGAGTAGCCCCTAGCAACCAGTCACTACTCCCACAACAAAGCCTTGGGCTGCCACGTTCATGTGGATCAGGTGAAGGGACATTTTGGTACTCCTCCTGCTTTTCAATTTGTATAATCCATATGCAACAATTGCTGCAAAACCTGCCATTCCAATGGGGACCAATGGTGCTTTTTTAGCTTTTCCAATAAGTTTGGATCCCTGATCTTTATCATATGTAGAAAGGGAAGCATTTGTATCAGTCGACATAGTGATTGCTTGAAGAATCTTCCAAGAGCAAGGACACCCCTGACAATCCAACCGCCTTCTGATCCCCGCCTGCACACCCCGTCTGGCCCAGGAGAATTATTTTTAAGCCCTGCATGCTCAATAACTATAGAATACTTATTTTCTCTTAGTGTTTCAGTCACACTACATCCTTGAAATACCAAGGAAAACATGTATGTGTTAAATAAATATGCGTGTTTATGTATGTACAAGTATAGTTTTAGTTATCATGTTGCAGCTCTAGGATATCCATCAACAAATAGCCGCAGTGTTTGATGACATTTTTTCCCACTCCTGCAAATTGAATTATTTACTGTTTTCTCTGAAGTGCTGACTCAGCACACAAGACCATTAGTCTAATGACCCATCACAGTTACCTTCCACGAGTTCCTGACCACTTCTACTTAAGTGTGCTGTCGAACTTGACCGGTTTCCTAGAGGACATTTATGAGTGAAGGGCCAAAGGGAAGACAGGATTCTAAATATATGTATTTCTTTCCTGATGCAAGCATGCACATTCGCCCAGTCCTGTTATAGCATTTAAAATTAAAATAAGGGCCGGGCTCGGTGGCTCAGCCTGTAATCCCAGTGCTTTGGGAGGCCGAGGTGAGTGAATTGCCTGAGCCCGTGGGTTCGAGACCCGGCTGGGCAACTTGACGAGACCTCATCTCTACAATAAATCAAAAAAATTAGCTGGGCATGGTAGTACGTGCCTGTAATTCCAGCTGAGTAGCAGAAGGATCACCAGAGTCCAGTGGGTCGATGCTGCGGTGGCCAGGAGCATGCCACTGTACTCCAGTCTGGGCGACGGAGTGAGACTCCAACTCAAAAAATAATAATAAAATAAAATTAAAATAAGTTAGGCTGTCATCTTAAATTAATGCTATTTAGAGGAGGGAAATTACTAATATGATTTTCTTCACTTGATCAAGCTTTAATTTTAGAAAAGAAACCTTTGATATGGGCTGTTTATGTATAAATTAGCTAATGCTAACTTTTCTGCCTAGACAGGGAAGCATGTTCATTTATGGGAGTCTCCTAAAAATATTTTTCTCCATTAAATAATACTGGGTTTATACTTCTACTTGGTTGAAATATTATCTTGAGAGGTGTTTCCAATGATTCATGTACACTTTGGGTTTAGGATTCATTTCATACCTTGAAGAAATGGGTCAAAGAACTGAAAGAACATGGTCCAGAAAACATTGTCATGGCCATTGCTGGAAACAAATGTGATCTCTCGGATATTAGGTAAGATGCGTCTAATGATTTTTTGAGTAGTTCATATCCTCTATACCTGAATGTCTGTGGTAAAAAGGTATTATGCCTTTGTTGTTATGTCTGTTTTCAGTGTAATTAATAAATGGCCATTCACTTGCAGTAGTCAATGTGGTACTTATTCAACTGGAGTAGAATTAAGAGAAATAATAGGGATATGCAAATTTGATGGACCATACAGTGATGAGTATTAAAATCAAATCCCTATACCCAGCACAGTTACATCCCCGACTCTGCATGTCTTTGGGCTTGATTGTTTTATTATTTTTATTGTTACCTTTCCCATTATTATTGTCATTATTACTACTAGCATCATTTTAGTAATACTTTCATATGGTCATGGCCTTTAGAATTCTTTTTTTTTATTTTATTTTTTATTTTTATGTTTTTTGAGTTGGAGTCTTACTCTGTCGCCCAGACTGGAGTGCAGTGGCCGCTCCCACTGCTGGACTCTGGCGATCCTTCCGCCTCAGCCTTCCAAGTAGCTGGAACTACAGGTGCGCGCTACCACACCCGGCTGATTTTTTGATTTATTGTAGAGATGAGGTCTCGCCAAGTTGCCCAGGCAGGTCTCGAACCCGCGGGCTCAGGCAGTCCACTCACCTCAGCCTCCCAAAGGCACAGGATTACAGGCTGAGCCACCGAGCCTGGCTTAGAATTCTTAATATTTTCCACAGCAAACCTGTTTGTTTTAGTTCTAGTCTTTATCTTAAGGACATAGTCAAGTGTGCAATATTATTGTTTTGTTTTAAGATCTGAATATGCCACATTTTATATGAACTCTTTGTCCCCAGTGACAGTGGATTGTTGAGCTTTCTCTACCTAGAAAGAGGTTGATAGGGACCCAGTCCACATGGATTAGAGATTTGATGATAGTTTTATCTAGTCTGGTAATCTTACTATGTTACTAAATAACTAAGTTAAAAAGGAAAGAGTGAATTTGCATTAATTCCATTCCTTTGGTTAGTTTAATTCTCTGGAATTCTAGTTGCTGATTTTTATAAAGACAACTACATCATGCTTCTGGTTTTGCTAATCCAAATATGATTAAAGCAAATTTAAATAAACAATGAAAATGGATCTTGCAAAAGCTCTTAACATGGCATTTAACAAATTGCTCTGTTTCTTTGGGATTTCAAAAGCTTTATATCACATTGCATCTGGTTGGTTTATAATAGCAGCCATAAACACCGCTTAATCATTTGTTTTTCTAGGGTCTGGGCAAATCTTTAAACTCCCCAGACTTAGTTCAGATATCTGCCTTCTTTACTGTAATTCTCAATTAGCTTGCTCATATAGCATTCCCAGCAGAATTGCATTAACCTTTGTCATGGGAAGGGCATGGTGGTGGGTAGAGGTCTTTGCTGAGTGAAGGCGCTCTCTCTCACACCCATGCATTGTGGGGATGCTGATAGACTAAAATTTAAGCAGAAAACAATTTAAACTTGAATGGTATAAGTTAGAACTTTCATTTCATGTAACTGAAGCCTAATTGAATTTCATCTCAGGAGAAAGGAGAATTTATTGGAAGGTCCTGGGATCCACTTGGTAAAAACAGGTCTGCCTTTAGCTCTGCTATTAGACATGTTCCAGCATTAGTCTCTGGAGAGTTCTTTGCTGGGCATTCTGTCTGTTTCAAGTCTAAAATGCCATGGAAGAGTTTTCCCCACATCATGACCAAGCACCTATGGCCAAGAGGGGTCTTGTGTAGTTCAGCATGATATTTCCCAGTATTATCATGAGAATGAGAGGGTGGGTGGTCTTAAAGAAGGGCAATTTCCAGAAAGTGTAGCCCGGCCAGACAAAACATCTGTGACATGTTGACTTGTCTATCAGCAGCACCTAAAGACATGCTTTGTCTCCATATAGAATTCACCTTTTATACACGGGTACAACCTTTTCCTCAGCAGGCATTCTGATTTGTACCCAGCTGATTCCTATATATGCAGTTTTCAAAATAATGTAGCTAGCACAAGCCATTCATCTCACGACCATAAAGTCACCTGAGTCTCTCTGTTCCCAGTGGAAGATGTCTGGCTCTCTGGTGACATCATGGGGCTCCTGTCCCATGAGCCCATGCTCTTTGGGTAATATCTTTTCTCCTCCAGTTTGACCTCAGTGAAGTCTGGATGTAACTTCTTAAGATCCTGCAGTTGTGTTTCATAGTGTGGGATATATATCTTTTGTTATACAAAAATTATTCTGGATGGTTCTTGTTATTGAATCAAGCAACACAGAAATGACTGCCTTCAAACATCTGATTATGTCAATGAGAAAGACTAATTTGATGCTAATAAATTTTGAATTTTAAAGATTTATTATATTCTACTGAGATAATTTATAACCCATGACATTCACCTGTTTTAGCATTCGTAACAATTTGATGAATTTTAGTGTTTTTATAGAGTTGAGCAATCATCGTCACATCTAATTTTAGAACATTTCCATCACCCAGCAAAGAACATCATGCCCATTTACGTAACTCTCAGTTTCTACCTTCTTCCATCCCCTGGCAACCACTAATCTTTTTGTCCCTGTAAATTTGCTTTTTCTGGACATTTGATATAAATGGAATCATACAGTATGTGGTCTTTTGTGACTGACTTTTTTCACTTAGCGTAATTTTTTTTTTTTTGAGTTGGAGTCTCACTCTGTCGCCCAGACTGGAGTGCAGTGGCCACTCCCGGTTGCCGCAGCCTCGACCTGCTGGGCTCTGGTGATCCTTCCGCCTCAGCCTTCCGAGTAGCTGGAACTACAGGCACGCACTACCATACCCGGCTAATTTTTTGATTTATTGTAGAGATGAGGTCTCGCCAAGTTGCCCAGGCAGGTCGCAAACCCGCGGGCTCAGGCAATTCACTCACCTTGGCCTCCCAAGGCGCGGGATTACAGGCTGAGCCATCGAGCCCTGCAGCGTAATGTTTTTAAGGTTCATCTGTGTTATAGCAGGTACCAACGCTTCGCTCATTTTCAATGCTTGTGTAATGCTTTGTTATATGAATGTATATCACATTTATTTATTTACCAGTTGGTATTTGAGTTGTTTCTACTTTTTGCTGTTATGAAAAATGCTATTGTGAACAGTCATGTACAAATTTCGTATGGATGTATGTTTTCATCTCTCTTGAATATGTACCTAGGAGTGGAATTTCTGGGTCATACAATAACTCTGTGTTTAACATATGGTTAACTCTGTGTTTAACAAATTGAGGAATGCAAACAATCTTCCAAAATAACTATACCACCTCCACATCCTCACCAACACTTGTTATTATCTGTCTTTTGTAGTATAACCAGCCATCCTAGTGGGTATGAAGTTGTATCATTATGGTTTTGGCATACATTTTCTTAATTAATGATGACATTAAATATCATTTCATATGTTTGTTTGAGTTGGAGTCTCACTCTGTCACCCAGGCTGGAGGGCAGTGGTGTGTTCACGGCCACCACCACCTCAACCTGCTGGGCTCCAGCGATCTTTCTGCTTCAGCCTTCCAAGTAACTGGAAGCACCATGCCTGGCTAATTTTTTGATTTATTGTAGAGACAGGGTCTCGCCATGTTACTCAGGTTGATCTCGAACCCCTGAGCTCAGGCAATCCTCTCGCCTCTGCCTCCCAAAGTGCTGGGATTACAGGCTTGAGCCACCACGCCCGGGCTTTTCATATGTTTATTGTCTATTTGTATATCTTCTTTAGAGAAATGTCCCTTCAAATCTTTTGCCCAATTTTTTAATTAGATTCACTTTTTTTTTTTTTTTTGGAGTCAGGTCTCACCCTGTTACCTAGGCTGGAGTGCAGTGGCATGATCACAACAATCATGACTGACTATAGGCAAACACCACCACGCCCAGCTAATTTTTTGATTTTTTTGTAGAGACAAAATCTTGCTATATTTCCCAGACTGGTCTCCAACTCCTGGGCTCAAGCAATCTGCCCTTCTCGGCCTCCCTAAGTGCTAGAATTACAGGTGTGTGACATCGAGCTTAGGCTTGTTTGTCTTTCTTCTTCATATCTTCTGAATACAAGTCCTTTAATGAATATATGAATTGCAAATACTTCCTCCCATTCTGTCGGTAGTCTCTTCACAATCTTTACTCTTTTTCTTTTTTTTTTGAGTCAGACTGTCACTCTATTGCTCAGGCTGGAGTGCTCGTGGTCACCACAGCCTCAACCTGCTAGGCTTAGGTAGTTCGTTGGCCTCAGCCTTCCAAGTAGCTGGAACCACAGGCATGCGCCACCATGCCCAGCTAAGTTTTTTTTTTTTTTTAATTTATTGTAGAGACGAAGTCTTGCCATGTTGCTCAGGCTGATCTCGAACTTCTGAGCTCAGGTAATCCTCTTACCTTCACCTCCCAAAGTGCTGGGATTATAGGTGTGAGCCACCGCACCCAGCCTGCTCTGTCTTCTGAAGTGCAAAAGTTTATGTCCCGTTTATTATGTTTTCCTTTTATTTCTCAGGCCCAAGTTTGGCCTAATTAAAAGTCACAATATTTACTCTTCTTCTTCTTTTTTTTTTTTTTTGATCTGGAGTCTCACTCTGTTGCCCAGGCTGGAGTGCAGTGGCACACTCATAGCCACCCCACCGTAACCTCGACCTGCTGGACTCAGGTGATCCTTCCGCCTCAGCCTTCCAAGTAGCTGGAACTACAGGCGCGTGCTACCATGCCCAGCTAATTTTTTGATTTATTGTAGAGACGAGGTCTCGTCATGTTGCCCAGAGTGGACTCGAACCCCCGGCCTCAGGCAATCCACTCACCTTGGCTTCCAAAGTGCTGGGATGACAGCCTGAGCCACCGTACCCAGCCAGTCAACTAATTTTTGACAGAAATACCCCCAGAGATTCAATAGGAAAGAAATCATTGTTTCAACAAATGGTGCTGGGCCAATTAGATATCCACATGTAAAAAGATGAATTTGTACCCCTATCTCACATCATGTACAAAAATTAATTCAAAATGGATGACAGACCTAA